ACACACGTGGTGCATAGTTATATGTATATATGTATGAGAGAAATAATTTTAATTATATGTGTATATAGATAAATAAGAAAAAAAAAGAAAGAATTTTAATGTGAAAAAATTATAAACTTTAGGAGTTTTTAATTTTAAAATTTTTTTTAATTAGAGTATCTTTCATCCTTACCATTTTTAAAATCTAAATTTAAATTAGGGTAAAAAAATTTTAAAAACCTTCTCTAATGTTAGATTCATACACATTTTAAATGAAGATAAACTTTTTTTTTATCCAAATCAAAGGAGAATCAAATCTATATACAAAACTTTAATGGTGAGATTTCACCCTATTTAAAAAATTTAAAGATCATATTTGACCTTTTTTTAAAATTTAAATTCGTCTGCATCTAAATTTAAGTTCTCCTTTTTTAATTTCTCCTAAATTAGGTTTTTTAATTGTTTTTGACAATAGATAGCAAAAATGAATTCAAAAATGGACCGCTCGAAATTTCCCATATTTGTCTCCTATTGCGAACCTCAACCGCCTTAAAGTTTAAACAACTATAAATAATCTGAACTCCCTCTCTCTGTCGCACACGATCCTCTCACTCGCTCTGTCCTCGCTTTCAGACGCTCCCTCTCAGTCTCTCCTTCACCCCTCTCTGATTCTCCCTCTCCTTCATCCCTCTCTATTGTTCTTCTTTATTTTTTGGAACTATATTAAGTTTAAAGAGATCTTTCTATATGTGTTAGTCTTTACCATTTTTGTCACGTTTTACTCAAATCGTTGATGAGGAAAAAAGATTTAACACCGCAACTTGTTCAGATTATCTTTTAGTTTGAGTTTCTTGTTTGATTTTGATTGTCTTGTTCAATTTCTTTAACTCTTGGTCAGCTTCTGTAGATACTTCAAGATGTAGTGTATCAAAGCCTAGAGATGTTAAGGTTAGTAGCCTTCTCTTCCATGAATTTCTTTGGGCTTTCAATTCTGTAAGTTCTTTCTCTCTCTCTCTCTCTCTTGTTTTTATGTTTATCTACTCTATGTTTTTCTTGTTCTTATATTGTTATATGACATCTTTGTTTAGCCAGATTGTTCGTCGTAGTTGTGTGTCCTTGAGTCAATTTGATTACCTTTTTTGTTCTGATAACTCGTTGGCAATATTGAACTCAACCGATCTTTATTTCAAGTCATTCAATTATCACAGCCATTCAACTATTTTTTTGTGTCTCGTTGTTCTTTCCTTTTTTGAAGTTATAGTTGTTTGAAGACTAATGATGTTGTGTAAAATTTGAATGCTGTTCAATAGGAGAGTATTTTGCTCGCTCAAACTTGTTCATGGAATTAAAGTTAAAAGTTCTAATTGTGGCATGCATGGATTAGTTTTTTTTACATAAGATGATGCATGAATTAATTCAATTGCATTCTTTCTCTACTCTTGGATATTGGGATTTAACATGATGCAGAATCAATTTTTTGCTGGCTTAGCAGCCCCTTCCCTCTCTTTCTGCGTCGCAGTCTTCCGTCTATGCAGACATAATTGGTAACTCAGAGATGCTAATAAATCCCTCTGGCTTTAACATTTTGATCCTGATATTTAGGGAGTAGTAACTTTCTCTGCTTGCCGATGATAATTTTTTTACGTGCCCGATTGGTAGTTTTTGTTTTCTTCTTCATTTTTATAAGGTCCATGAGACCAGCAAATGACTCAATATCTGGATGTGTGTGTTTCTTAAATGTACTAATCTTCTATGCTTATTACTTAGCTTCAGCTATATATATTGTCTTTAAATGCTAACTGCTTTTTATTCTTGCACGGGACACTGAGGCTATATGCTATATCAAAAAAGTGTGCAATACATGATCAATATTGAACAACCTACTTGGGCAGTTGCTGAGTTACTAACCCATTTTTGTTTGGATGTGAAGGCCCAGCTTATGTACATCTTGTTTTGACATTGGTCTATAAGCAGCTCTAGTCTAGTACATACATGTTCACTTTAGTCCGTGGTTTTGCACTCAATTGTCAATCATCATGGGTATACTCGACATATGCTATTGGGTGGACAACTTATTTTAATATTCCGTTTTCGTGGATATGTCATACTGCTGTGTCCATGCCTTCCCCCTGTTTCTATTGAAGTTTCTTCTATGTTTTTTGATGTCTTTTCTTCTTGTAACAGACTTCTCTTTATGTGTTTTACCTTTTAGGGAATCCTGGATATAAAGCCCATTAGTAATCTGTAACATGTTGTTGAGGTAACCTTAGATAATTTTGGCATTGGACAGATGAATATGACCTTAATACGGGTGCTTTATTATCACCCCATAGAGATGAATACTATATGGTAGCGGTAGAGAATTCTTTGGCCTTGAATCACAGTATTCCGGAAGAACAGGTTATTCTAGCTCGACATCGTCGAGAATTCTTGACTATTGCATAGGAACTGGTTCATCTTCAAAATATTTTTTCCTTCCAGTATTTTTATTTATGTTTCTTTTCAAATTCACGTATCTTTTGAAGGTGAAAACTTCAGAGCAAATTGAGAGAATGAGAGACACTTGTTGAGTAAGTTACTCATTAATATTTTCCTTTTGAAATCATGTTAGCGTGAAGTACATCTGTCTTCTTATAAGTTGCATGCATAGTTTTCATCATTGTCTAATCTAGGATCTCTTGGATATGCACTAAAACAAAAATAGAGATGAGACTTCCTCTTCAACAAAGACACCAATAATGAAGACTTGAAGAAAACTAGGATTGATCACACTTGTCGCCGAATTGAACTTGATAGCTGTGTGAAAAACCTAACTATCTAAGGTCTTGGATGACCCCTGTCAACCTCATCCGCATTAGCGTATTTTTGTAGTTGAGAATATGTATCTCAAACCTGTTGGAAAGAACATCCTTCAATATCAGGGTTCTCTGTAGTAACCTGGAATCCTGGTTATTTGTTGTTTCTCTTATTCTTTATTCCAAATGAGAAGCGAAGTCTTATCGTGGTCATGGTATTGGAGAGCTCTTCCATTGCGCAAAAAAGATTCTTCATTATGCAAGTATCCTTAAAGAAGCAACTTTTCCATTTGAATGTTCGTTTGCATTAAAAATTTGCCTCTTAACAAAATGAGGAATGCAAAGTATAGAGTGAACTGACTCATATTTTTGTGATATTACAATTTCAATCTCTTCTTACCCACTTTGTATTTTTCCTTTGTCCTCTCTGTATGACCTTAACCTTAGCAGGAAATAAAGCTGTTGGTGTTATGAAGGCAGGGCAGATCTTTACCATTGAACCTATGATAAATGCAGGTAATTTTACAATGCTTATAAATTGTAATCAAAAGTTCTGCCTCGACCTTTTTGTTGTACTCATTTTATTTTTGGAAAATTTGATTTTTAATGGAGTTAGAATGCCATGATTGCTTTGCCTAGAATGCCATGATTGCTTTGCCTAGAATGCCATGATTGCTTTGCCTTGCTGCATGCATAAAAATAACTTCCATCTTGTAAGATGGATGACACCTTTAACCTTTTTATGTTGAGTTTATATTTCATGTTGTGCAAGTCTTTTATATAGGGTGATTAACATTTATTCATGGTAATATGCTGGCAATACCAATGGCTGAGGCTAAAAGTCATTTCCTTATTTGGCTTCTATTGAAACAAATGAAGCTTTTTTGTTTAATTGTTGATTGAATGAAGTCAAAATTTAACAAGGAAAAAAAGTGAAATTTATGGTTGACAGTTATAAGGTCGAAAAGTAGTAGAGGTATACATAGGTTTTCATGCCTCAGCTGAAAAACCACTATTACTTTGTCTTTTTAGATGTTATGTTTTCTTGTTATGATGGTTGAATGCAGATTTATGTTAAGGATGTTGATTCTGGAGCTGTAATATCACAATTTAGAGCTGTAATACCAGTCAGATATCAGCATTATGTTTCGATCAAAGTGGTACCCTTCTATGCCTGCTTCAGTGCATGAAAATAGCATAAATATTTTCTAGATCATACCCATCTTGGATACATAATAGTGCAGCCACTCAAACCTATGACTGGGCTCTTCTCATGTGCATCTGTATAATTTCTATCATGGAATGACAACTGCTGTTAGTAGACATCCGTTTCTCAGTATTCATTATTTTCTTCTCTTCCTTTCCAAATTGTCTAAGTTTGTGCAAATTGTTGGGATTACTGAGTTTTATTTGGCAGATCATCCAAGGCATGTGCTTTTGTCATTACTATCAGTGGATTGCTATTATACCATCCAAAGGGAGTTGCCACTTTTTTGCTCTATCCCCCTTTGGTGGCAATGCCAGCTTTCAAACTCTTGTTTCTCCATGGCAAATGTCCAGCCCCGTATCCCATTGTATTTCTACCTCGGCGGTCTACTTCATCTCTCATCCTAAACCAGCAATCTTCTTCACTTCGGCACCCTGTTACCTTTTATGTGGTAAGCCGGATCAAGAATAATGCCTCGGGACTGCTTATTCAGTTATCAATATTGCTATTTCTGCAGAAGGAAAGGTTACCTTGCCATCTTGTGCTGGTCCAACTGATTTTTCACAGTTCCGTATATTGTTGTTTTGCAGGATGTTCACTCTGGGGTTAATTCCTTGGAGCATCTGTTAATTCCTAGAGAGAGAGAAAGGAATGTTTTTCAGAGACTACTTTTGATGCTCAAGAAGCTGGAGAGAACAAAGTTTCTGGAGATAAATCTGATTCAGTAAAGCTCCTTGAGAGATCCCACTTGTAGCTGTAAAATGCTGAGGTGCAAATAATGCAAATAAATTCTGGATGGTTACCAATATGGCCACAATCCAAGGTAAAATCTGTTAGATTCATGATTCCTTTGATTCTGGTATTCTAATTTGGTTGTGATTAATCTTCATCATTGCTCTAGATTCATTTCAGTAGAATTATCCCTCCAAGAGTGGATAGATACAATGGTGGAGAATTTGAAATCTACAAGGTCCCATCTTATATAGTGGAAATAAGACAGAAGGATTTATTGTCAGTGTATGATCATTTCCACAACATCAAATCTGGTTGCATTGACAAGTGTTGATCACATTCACCTCTTTTTAGGTTCTGGTAACTCCCCATCTGTAATCAATTATGTTGATTCTTGTGTTGGATGTTTATGTCCATATATTGCTGAAAATTTCTAATAAGTTTAATTTTCTGTTTTGAAATGTTGGTTTTCATATGGTGATAGAATTCTTAGAGGTGTACATTGACTTGAGTAGTAGTGGCAAAGTGAAAAAAGTTATAGCTAAATCTACTTTCTGTTATGCCATTAGCCAGATGATTCATTCAGGTAGTTACATAAATTGTGTTGACTTACCATATACTTCTGCGTCTAGCAAGATGAATTCAGGATGGATTTATGTGTGGTAGTTAGACTAGGGGCCAAATCTTCACTTCTTCTAGCAAAGGAGTTTCTGATTTCCCCTCTCGTTATTACAACAGAATTGGAATGTCATTTGTAATCATCAGACCTTCGTTGCATTATCTTTTTTCCCTTTCCATTTGGTAGATGTCTTATTCAGTATTCACCATTTTGTACTTTTTTCTTTCTCATGAATTTAGAATCTTGTTTCTCATAACAAAAAAATACAACCCTTAAATAGAACTTACTCTCCTTCCCAATATAAGAATTGCAGTTAATTGATAAGAGGGAATGCCAAATCAGTTGGGTGGTGGTATATCACTGTAATAATACTTGTGAACTTGAGAAAAAAGAGAAAAACCATTTACCCTTGTTATAACAATACTTTTAATTTTAGCCCTTTGGTGAGTACCATAATCATCTCCTGGTTCTTGCCGCGATATTTGCAGGTATTCTACATGCAAATAAACTAATTGAATTGTGTGTGCCCTTTGTAAATTCTGATAAACTGTTGCTTCGTAAGTTACAAACAACAGATTTTTGTCTAATATCTTGGAATGTGTTGTGGGGAGTTGTGCACATGCACACATGCCTACAAGTGCATGTGTCTTGGGGTGCTTAGTCCCACCTTGAATTTTATTGTATGCTTGGTTGTTTTGAATTTACTTGCCTTGCCTCTTCTTTATTTCTTTATATAGAAAAGATATTTCTTGACTTGCTAACGTCTTTATTAAATAGTTTGGATGATTCAAGATTTACTTTTTCCCCTTCTTGTTGAGATGAATTTTCCCTGGGTTGATGTTGGAACAGCTAACTAATTTTTTTAACTACTTTTTTCCATTAATGCACCAGCTAGCAAGCAAGATGGGCGACACATGCCTTTGGTGCAGAAAGAAAGAAAGAGGTATACTATATGCACAAGTGTTTGTTGAGCAAATAGAATTGTCTAAGAAGTGTCTGATGAGACAGACGTAATTAGATGGTTTGCTTTTGTCTTAACATATCTCAAACAGGTTAAGGAGTTGATGAAATCTCTTGATTCTTATTGGATCATGATATAGATTGTTGGTTTACTTAGCTCATTCTATTAAATATATAATTAAAGAGGGTAATCTTTTGGATGCAGTTTATTCATAAGATGTTTTACATTCATGCATGATAAAGGACTATCGTTGATTTGATGTTGCAGTGCATTCATCAATTTTCCACAGCTTGTTGCTGTGACGTTGCCTTGGTAAACTGTATCTCAATGCTTAATTTCATTAGAGGGTTTTTTTTTTCTATAGAACCAGCAGTGTTTGAATAGGATTCTTTTGTTTATACAATTTTCCCAGTTGACTGTATTGGACTTCATTTACCTGGACGCAGTTTAAAAGTTTTATTGGTAAAGCAGGTAACTTAGCCTGGCTTGGGCAAATTAAAGCTGGATTGATCTGTGACATGCAGGTTCTCAGGTTCCAATGGGCTGTGTTAATGGCGAGATGTCATCGGATAGTAACTCTGGGTCTTGAAACGCAAGTAAGCTCTAACTTATTTATATTGTCAACAAGGTTAAAATAAGCAAACAGCTGTGAGATACTTTATATTGTGAGTGGGAATTATTTGTTGAGCACCATACTGCATTTATAATTGTTCTCTATAGTCGCTGTTGATTCCTGCAAAGTATCAGGGTAATGAAGGATTCAGAAGGTCACATCCTGTACTGTTGGTTGTTGCGGGTGGTGAGACCAACAAGTTAAGTCTTGATCAAAAGCGTTGTCATTTGGGTGGGTGTGGCAGAGACGGTTCTATGGAGTTTCAATCGGGGTATGCCATCAACTCTCCTACAGCTAGTCGATTTTACTCTCTAAGTTTTAACTTTTATGTGCAGGCCCTCAGGTTCCAGTCGGCAGTGTTAATGGTCAGATGTAGTCACCGGATTGTAGCTCTGGGTCTTGAAATACAAGTAAGCTCCAACTTATTTTATATGTCCACCTGATTATAATAAACTATCAGCTGTCAGATTCATTATATTTTGGGTAAGAATTATATCTTGAACACCATATTGCATTAACAAATGTTGTAACTGTTAGAGTATTAATACTAAGGGTAGTTTAGGCATTTTCTTTATGTTGTGTTGCCCTATTATATAAGACTTTCTTTGTGTATTTCTAGGTTTAAGATTTGCATTACAGACTTGCTTTTAGTCTAATAATATATTTCACTCTCTCTTCTCTATTCTCATTAATTAATTTTAGCGGTAACTAATATCATAGATGACAGGGATAGGTAATGAAATTTTGCTACTCTTCCTTGTAATGTAGAAAGGATGTATATGTACTTGAGATCTGTACATATGAAGCAATAAGCATTAATGATTTATAGTGTATTGGAAGCAGTGTTTAAAGTACTAAGTTCTGTACTTTATTTGGATAAGGTTTCTGCTGCGGCAAGAAATTTGATGGCTTACTATTACCCTCCCTTGTGGCAGATACACTGCATTGATATACACTTACTGTTGAGGACAGTGTTCTCACCTATCCCTTTCCTCAGTTTGGAGGACAAGGAACAGGTTGGGGTCAATATTTGTAATGGTCCAAAAGTTGTAGGTCCAAGGTGGTTAGCTTATAATCATTGTTAATTCAGAAAATTCTATTATTATTTTTTACCAGGTTAGGCATCTGGGCAAAGTAATCAAAAGTTCTGCCTAGATGTTTTTATTGTGCTTGTTTTATTTTTGGAAAATTTGATTCTTAATGGAGTTAGAATGCCATGATTGCTTTGCCTTGCTACATTAAAATGTATAGATGCTTAGTCAATTACGTTTCTAAATTTCACATTAATGTATAAAAATAACTTCCTTCTTGTTAGATGGATGATAGTGCAAGTCTTTTATACAGGGTGATTAACATTTATTCATGGTAATATGCTGGCAATACCAATGGCTGAGGCTAAAAGTCATTTCCTTATTTGGTGTCTATTGAAACAAACGAAGCCTTTATGTTTAATTGATTGAATGAAGTCAAAATTTAACAAGGAAAAAGAAGTGAAATTTATGGTTGACAGTTATAAGGTTGAAAAGTAGATGTATACATGGATTTTCACGCCTCGGCTGAAAAACCACTATATCTTTGTCTTTTTAGATGTTATGTTTTTCTTGTTATTATGCTTGAATGCAGGTTTTTGTTAAGGAAATTGATTCTTGGATACATAATAGTGCAGCCACTCAAACCTATGACTGGGCTCTTCTCATGTGCAGCTTTACATGATCTATCGTGGAATGATAACAACAGCTAGTATACATCCGTGTCTCAGCATTCATTATTTTCTTCTCTCCCTTTCCAAATGATCTAAGTTTGTGCAATCTTGTTCGGATTACTGTGTTTTATTTGGCAGATCATCCAAGACATGTGCTTCAGTCATTACTATTAGTGGATTACTAATATCCAGCCCAAGGGACTTGCCACTTTTTATCCCCCTTTGGTGGCAATGCCAGCTTTCAAACTCTTGTTTCTCATGGCAAAGGTCTATGCCCGTATCCCATTGTATCTCTACCACGGCGGTCTACTTCATCTTAAACCAGCAATCTTCTTCACCTCGGCACCCTTTTACCCTTTATGTGGTAAGGAGGATAAAGAATAATGCCTCGGGATTGCTTATTCAGTTAGCAATTCCGCTACTTCTGCAAAGGGAAAGGTTAATCTGCCATCTTGTGCTGGTGCAGTTGTTTTTTCACAGTTCCGTATTTCGTGGTTTGCAGGATGTTCACTCTGGGGTTAATTCCTTGGAGCATCTGTTAGTTTATACTCCATCAGGCTATGTGATTAAACTAGAGCTTCTGCCATCAATTGAGGCGGAGCTAAATGAGAGTGATCCAGCAACTTGGTCTGGCTCATATGTACATTCGTAAGATGAGGAGTAAGGGTGAAAGTTGAACGTGTTAAATGGTGGGATGTGTGTAGAAGATCGGATTGTCCAGAGAGAGAAAAAGGAATATTTTTCAGAGACTGCTTTTGATGCTCAAGAAGCTGGAGAGAACAAAGTTTCTGGAGATAAATCTGACAGTAAAGCTCCCCGAGAGATCTCACTTGTATCTATCAAATGCTGAGGTGCAAATAAGTTCTGGAAGGTTACCAATTATGGCAAAAATCCAAGGTAAAATCTGTTAGATTAATGATTCCCTTGATTCTACTATTCTATTTTGGTTGTGATTAATCTTCATCATTGCTCTAGATTCAATTCGATATATCCCTCCAAGAGTGGATAGGTACAATGGTGTAGTATTTGAAATATACAACGTCCCATCTTATATAGTGGAAATAAAAAGGAAGGATTTATTGTCAGTGTATGATCATTTCCACAACATCAAATTTGGCTGCATTCACAAGGGTTGATCACATTCACCTCTTTTCAGGTTCTGGTAACTCCCCATCTGTAATCAATTCTGTTGATTCTTGTGTTGGATGTTTATGTCCATATCTTCCTGTAAACTTCAAATAAGTTTAATTTTCTGTTTTTGAGTGTTTGTTTTCATACAGTGATAGACTTCTTAGAGGAGTACACTGACTTGAGATCGAGCAGTAGTAGCAACGGTGAAAAAGGTTATAGATATATCTACTTTCTGTTGTGCCATCAACCAGATGATTCATGCAGGTAGTTACATAAATAGTGTTGACTTATCATATAGTTCTGTGTCTAGCATGATGAATTAAGGATGGATTTATTTTTGCGTGGTAGTTGGACTAGTGGCCATAAATCTTCACTTCTTCTAGCAAAGGAGTTCCGTGATTTCCCCCTCTCATTATTACACCGGAATTGGAATGTCATTTCTCATTTGTAATCATAAGACCTTCATTGCATTATCTTTTTTCCCTTTTCATTTGGTGGATGTCTTATTCACCATTTTGTACTTTTTTTTCATATATTGAGAATCTTGTTTCTCATAACAAACAAATACATACTCTCCTTCCCAATATAAGAATTGCATTTAATTGATAAGAGGGAATGAGAAATCTGTTGGGTGGTATATATCACTGTAATAATGCTCGTGAACTTGAGAAAAAAGAGAAAAACCATTAACACTTGCCATAACACTACTTTTAATTTTTACCCTTTTGTGAGTACCACTATCATCTCCTAATCCACTATTGGTTCTTGCTGTGATATTTGCAGGTATTCTTCAAGCAAATAAAATAATTGAATTGTGTGTGCCCTTTGTAAATTCTGATAAATTGTTGCTTCCTTAGTTATAAACAACAGTTTTTGTCTAATGTCTTGGAATGTGTTGTGTGGGGTGCATGTGTCTGGTGTCGTTTAGACCCACCTTGAATTTTATTTTATGCTTGGTAGTTTTGTGTGGAAGGCGCTATGGTGGAAGGTTTCCTAGTGCTTCATAATTGGAGACTAAGACGAGGTCACTGAAGAAACTTATCTGTTCTTCAAACCCTGCATTCCTTACCTCCACTGAAAGCTCAAATGAAGGTAAGAAACAAGTAACCCTGATGAGTATTTGCTCTGAATGCTCATCATTGATGATTTTGTTGCGTTTTAGTCTGATGAGTCAAATGTAATCCTGAAAAAGAAAACTTAAGCCTTGACCTAAACATGCTGTCATCTGAACTTCCCATTTCTAACAATTTTTTGGCTGTAGTTTACTCCTTTGGTTTTAATAAGTTTTATCTTTTACCAGCGCTCACAACTGCTTCAAGGCATCCTGGAGCTCTCACAAATCAGTCCATTTGAAGGTAAAGTTGTCCTCACTTGCACCGGCTACCCTTGGTGAACAAAATTCAGCCTTACTGGTTGATGGTTGGTTATATTGCTCGAGTAAAGGGCAGGCTCAAACTCCAAAACTTCATCGCATTTTGATTGACAGGGTATTTCTCTTGTTTTCTTCTTGTATTTTTCTTCTTAGACTTTATATTCTACTTTGTTCCTTTGTCATTATGTTTTGCAATTTTGATCAATACTTGCTTCACCAGAGCTTGTGCTAGAGACATGATTCAAGTTTAGGATACAGGATTGATATTTCTAACTCCCAAGGCCTATTTATATCGAGTGGTACATGGTTAAATCTACTTGGACGTGTGAATGGATGCTAGATTTTACTAACTCCTCAATCTATGACACAGGGCATGTCCCTATTGTTCGTGTATCTATTTTTTTTTTCCTAACATAGTATTCTATGCTTTTATTACTTAGCTAAGTAATAAAAATAGAATACAATGACAGTTCAAAAAGGATAATTGTTGAGGTAAACTTAGATCAGAAAGGATAGTTCTTCCATTGATATAAAGGTGGATAGTTTTGGCATTGGATAGATGGATATGACCTCAATTTATGTTGCTTTTCAAATTCACGTTTCTTTTGAGGGTGAAAACTTTGGAGCAAATTGAGAGCATGATAGAGACTTGCCGAGTAAGTTACTCTCATTATCATTTTCCTTTTGAAATCATGTTAGCGTGAAATGCATTTGTCTTCTTGTAAGTTGCATGCATAGTTTTCATCATTTTCTAATCTAGGATCTCTTGGATATGCACTAAAACTAAAGTAGAAATGAGAAGAAGCCTTTAACAAAGACACCAACAATGAAGAAGTAACAATTCCCTCCAAAATTGCACCAAATTGAAAATTTCTCTCACAGCTGATTTGAATCTTAATATTGCTGTTGGAACTCTATTTCAGAGGAAAGGCACGAGTCTCACCAAAGGACTAATATGTCAAGCACATAGTCTCCCTGTCATGGTTAATCCAAAACCATGTAAAACCTCCCTCGGCTATAAATTATGCAATGTTGATAAACTAGTTTGGGATTTCGTGAAAATTTCCCAAGAAATAAGGTTTATGCCTTGATTACCTATCTTCAAGGTGAAGACTTGGAGAAAACTAGGATTGACCACGCTTCTTAAAATTTTGATGTTCCTCCATGAAGACAGGTTCAAATAGATAGGGCTAACTTTATTTCATTCAGTTAGAAATTTTCAAGATTTAATTCCTTATGATTAACCCACGAGGGATACCTTTGCACAGTCACGAGGGACACCTTTTGCTAACCTATAAACTTACGTTGAATTTGAGTGATGCTATTGGATTGAATATGTATTATTAACCATTTCTGGAAATTAGAAGAAGGTGATATTTTAAACGTGGATGTAGTCGTGTACTATAAAGTTGTCCATGGTAAGAATGATTATACCTCTATCATTGTTTCATCTCATCATTCATATACTATGTTTTTCACAGTTGACAGACTTGTCGTTATGCTGGTGATCGTAATGAAACATTTTTTGTTGGGGGGCAGTGATGAAACATCTCGACTGCTGGTTCAATGTAGTTATGAGTGCTTGGAGAAAACAATACCAATTGGTATGTGTTGATCTTGTAGGTTATGGCATGATCTATAATGTAGTTGGGAACATGCTGTTTCAGCCACCTCTCTTAAATCCAACGCAAACGCAACACACATCTGTCCATCCAATTTTTTCTCTCCACACCATATGTGATTTTGCTGAATTACTGTTTTAGTTAAAGTTCCTGGGAATTGTAGCTTTTAATGCTATATTGCTATGGTTAACGAACATAAAGAAAATGTGTTGTATAGGATGGGTAGGATTTTTTCTTGGTGGTTTGAGTGTCTTAGTTAATGAGCATAAATTTTATTTTGTTAATTTGAATGTGATAATACTTGCAATTGACATTTAATTGACTTTTTATTTTCCTGTGAGAACTCATCTCTATTTTTGTTTGACAGTTGATTGTAGTGTTTATTATGTGTCAATTTAATTTTATAATTTTTACTATGTTTGGTTCTTAAGTTTTAGTTTAGTGATAATATTTGGAAAAAAATTTATCGAATAAATGTAATGGATGATCAGTAGATGGCTGTTAGTTTTTGAATTACACAATAACAATTAACCTCACATTTTTACAATGGTGATACTTAGACATTTGTGTATACATGCACAATATGCATTATTTGACCCTTTTATATTGAACAACCTTGATGTATCAAATATAATATGATAAATGCAAATGTATCATTTTATTGTGATCGGTTAAGAGGAAAAATAATAAATGGAGTATATAATTGTAGTGCCCACCCTAATGAAAATTCCTGGCTCCTCACTTACACCAGATACCGTTGGTGAACAAAATTCAGCCTTACTGGGTGATGGTTGGTTGTATTGCTCGAGGAAAGGGCAGGCTCAAACTCCAAAAGTTCTGCATTTTGATTGGACAGGGTAGTTCTCTTGTTTCCTTTTTGTATTTTTATTCTTACACATATTCTATTTTGTTCTTGTGACATTATGTTTTACAATTTTGATCAATACTTGCTTCACCAGAGATTGTGCTTGAGACATGATTCAAGTTTAGGTTGCTGGATTGATATTTCTAGCTCCCAAGGCCTATTTATATCGAGTGGTACATGGTTAAATAAACATGGACATCTGTATGGATGTTAGATTTTACTAACTCCTAATGCTATGACAAAGGGTGCACTTCCATGTTCTTATATCAATTTTTTTTTTTTTTGGTTTCTAATATTTTGCCATAAAAGGGAAAAAATGCAAAATAAACTATAGATGAGTGCCCTTTCTTTTGTATATTAAGTGATTGAATGACAATTCAGGTTGTATTTGTCTGTTAGGGCTCATTAAATGTATTATTCATAAGATTTCAAGAGGTAATGGATTGAAAATCACCTGGAATGCATTTGTCAGAAACTGTTTTCAAACAATAATCCTGAGACAACATGTTTTCAATAATCTATGGAGGAGCAGATTTATGCATTTTTGAGAGCTGAGTTTTTTTTAAAGAAAAATGGCTGGGCACTATCAAGGATTGTCGAGTCTTTCTTACTAGTTAATAAGGTGAACTCTAGGTTCGGCCATCTTTCTTAGCAGTTGTTAA